GCGGCCGTACTCGCACGGCTTCACCGTCACGGGCACGTTGGCGAAGGCCGCAGCGACCAGGATCTTGTGCATGCGGGCGTTCTCGGGGCCCACCACTCCCCACAGCGTTAGCGTCATTTTATGTTAATTAGAGGTTGATCTCGCAACATACAAGGAAAACAATACAGTCAGAGAAAAGAAAGAAAAAATGAGAAAGGAATAGATGGAGAGAAGAAGAAAAGAAAAAAGAGGTACAGCACAACATCAAAACAATAATCATTTCTCCTTTTCTAGAATCCTGAGAAATATGAAGGGTGATCAGGAAAGAAGGGCTGCGGTGAAAGGGTCAACAAACTCAACACCAGCAGATATCACAATGGTGCTTTCTAATATTTCATTGAACTTTTATTCCAATGGAAAAACAAAATTGTTTTAGTGGTTTCCTGTTGTAAAATATATAAACATATATGTATAACTGACATGATAATTTCAATTTTTGTCCGTCAGTTGGCCAATATGCCAAAATTAACGGCCTGAAACAAGGAAGGAAGGAAGAAAGGAAGGAAGGAAGGAGAGATTTGCCCCAAGAAAGGAATACAAAAATATAAATTAATATTTGCCAAAAAGCACAATTGTTGCATCATCTAATAATCGATTATTGCCAAGAAGAATTTTATCTCCAACGGAATAAACAATTACGTGTGGAAAAAGAAGAAAAGAAGAGCGGTCAATTGGACCATATATATGTATAAATATGTATATATGTGAATAAAAGAAAGAAAAGAAAATTGTATAGAGGCTCTTGAAGTATACTTTATGTATAAATCTCATGATTACATCATCACAGCTGCAATGCAAACAAGAAATAACACAGCTCCAAAATATGAGGACACAATACTCTTGTCAGCACCTTCCCCAGCCGTATGTTGGTCGCAATTCCCCACCGTACATGTAATATTTTCTGCTACCGTGTGATCACTGGTGCTATTATTTGCCGTTTTATTCTCTTCACCACTAATGTCATGTAAATCTCTTCCAATAACGTAATCTTGGAGAATCTCAGTATCTGCAGCTTCATTACTTTCAATGCGGAGTTCACTGATTTGGGGAAGATCGGTACACACCTCCGCGTACTTGGGGCACAAGATGCTTCCACTTTGGAACTCTGTGCCTTCCAAATTCTCAATCTTGCNAAATTTACATAGAGGCACTTGAATTATATTTTATGTATAAATCTCATGATTACATCATCACAGCTGCAATGCAAACAAGAAATAACACAGCTCCAAAATATGAGGTCACAATACTCTTGTCAGCACCTTCCCCAGCTGTATGTTGGTCGCAATTCCCCACCGTACATGTAATATTTTCTGCTACCGTGTGATTACTGCTGCTATTATTTGCCGTTTTATTCTCTTCGCCACTAATGTCATGTAAATCTCTTCCAATAACGTAATCTTGGAGAATCTCAGTATCTGCAGCTTCATTACTTTCAATGCGGCGTTCACTGATTGAGGGAAGATCGGTACACACCTCCGCGTACTTGGGGCACAAGATGCTTCCACTTTGGAACTCTGTGCCTTCCAAACTTTCAATCTTGCCACCATCAGGGCATTCATGCCATTTATCACTCCCCTTATATTGTACCTTAACTTTGCCATCCTCACACTTTACATTGGCACAAATGTCACCAACTGGCAAGAAAGTTTGGGCCGATTCTTTTTGTATCAGCTCATCCCCTTGTAGACATCGTGATTCCTTCCCCAGAATACTTCCAGGCATTAACTCCAAATCACCGCTCTGACAAGTTGTTTCTTCAAGCTGTCTGATGATGGGACATCCATCCGTCAATTCACCGTACAAATAGGTGAAAGTGTTATTCCTAAAGTTTCGATAATCCTCAGGATAGTCCTGAGGGAAATTACTCGATGTGCACCTTCCAAGAGAAAGACGATCAGATGTACACTGCAGCGATGCACGGGATTCAGTACAAAACGTATTGGGATATTTAATGATATTCTCTTGTATACATTTCCCTGTAAGGAACTCACATCCAGCATTGCTGCCCCAACTCATTGTCTCTGCCATGCTGAAGTTAGCCTTGTAAAACTTCATATCATTAAATATTGCGAGTGTAAGTGATGTATAGTACATACCAGATGGTTCTTCACTGTACGTACTCATCAGATCGTCCTTCGCTAGCCT